TTGTGCAAACCATCATTTCCATCCATTTTCATCTAATTTTTTAATAAAAAATTGTGAAATAATGAATATACCCTCATACTTAAATACAAAATATATTTTCTTAATTTCTAATTCTTTAATAACTTATTTGGAACTCTTTAGCACTTTTTAATTTTTTTAATTTTTAAAATTTTAAATTAAATTAAATTGGGACTCGTTTGCACTTTTCATAAAAAATTAAAATTTTTAATTATTTATTGGAGACTCTTTTTCAATTTTTTTAAAAAAATTGGGACTACGATTACAATTCATTATTTAACTTTTTATTTAAATAGGAGGATATATTCGTCATCCCAGTGTTTTATTTGATATATAAAAAGACACTAAAAATTCAATCTTCATCTTCTCTCCTTATTCAGCACTTCCCACCATTTTCGTCGTGATTAGCTACATGCACCGTACAAGGCAATCAAAATTATGTTAAATTATGGTCTTATTTAGTAATCTACCTTTAATATTTTAAATTTTGTAAATGAATTATATTTTAGTGACGTAAATACCATTGACGATGAAGATGAAACTCGACGATGCACACAATGCAAAGAAACACTATTTCACCTGTACAATACAATGGAGTTGAAGAATTTACGAACGAAACTTGATGCACTCTAACCCTTATCGAGGGAATTTATTTTTACATTGATGAATATTAGCAGTTGAGCCACTGGCTGACTAACCTACCCTGTCCTTCACCCGTGTCTAGGTCGGATGTAAAAACTATATGAGTAACTACAAAGAAAACATAATATATAAGAACAAAATTGAAATGTATTGATGCATTATGCGGACAAGTTTGGTGGAACCTATGATGCTTCGAACTTGTCAACAACGACCTACCTGCTAATGATGATATCAAGTTTTATGCATGCAATTATTTTGCTGCAAGAAAATAGGACCAAGTCAAAATGTCAATTATTCGGACAAAATAATTACCTTTTTTTAAGTAAATTTTCGCAAATGAATCTTATCCTGCGTTTTTGTTTTATTTTACATCAAATTTGTCAAATTTATTTGTGAATATGCTACTTGTACATAATGCGGTGTCCACCTCCTCACATGGAGGGGGACCCACTTCGGATATATTATATTTTATTCGAAGTGAGTCCCCCTTCATGTGAGAGGGTGGATACCGTTATGAACACCACATTATGTATGCACATGTATTTGTAGGGTCCTGACCTTCATATCGTCAATGGGCTTAATTGTCTAATTTAGCTGGTTCTTTAATTTAGTTTTTTGATGGACTATTTGGTAATTTGACCTGTTTTTGTTAGGTTGTATAAAATAATAGTAATATAACAAAATGCTTAAATTTCGCCACATAGTTGTTGTTGTTGTTGTGTTTTATGTCACCGTATTAATTATGACTTCATGCGCAGTCATACATCTTAGGGCCAACACTAAATACTCCCATAAATAATAGTTAAATGACTTTGTCAAAGTAAAATCGTATGAACGAGACTATATTTCATATATAAGTTGTACAGAAGTGTTATTAAAATATTTAAATTGAAAATAATATACTTTCATAACACAAAATAAATGAAAATTATGAGAATCGGCCCCAAAAAAGTAATTTCCGAGTCTTCGTTGATCCTCCACCATTATAATAGAAAAATCCCTAGCCATAGAATGAGTGCAAGAGAGTATTTGTGTGTGATTGACATTTTGAGGAAAGGTACATTTCAATTAGAAGCCATTTTTAGCACAGTATCTATCCAAGAATCCATTAACTGGATTCTATTCATTCTTATCCCCTAACCTATATAGGAATCCCTATTGAATTGGAGAAGAAATGTTGACCATATCAAGTAACTTCTCCGATTGATTGCCTCACACGCTTAAACTTATGCGTACTAACTGTTGGAAAAAATTGAGTTTGTGGCACGAATTTTGAGCGGGACCTGTTTGGCTATTTTGGAAGATGAAAGTTGATTTGTGTTCTCCTCCGTGAATACATCGAAATCATATACTTACTTGTCAAAAATGATATTCGGGTGAATGAGAAATTGAAACTCAAAGTATGTCATGTGAAATGAATTTATATTGGTGGGAAAACTAAAAATAAGTTTGTCCCACTTACTTCATGGCAATTACAAAAAGGACTTTGCTAGGGGTACATAAATTTTCACATAATGGTTCACATAATTACACATGGCACATATCCAACCTTTAATTCAAATCTCACACTTTCACATTAACTACCGATGGTTGCCACATCACATTATGTACCCCTCCATGTACATAAATTATGTACAACAAGAATCATCCTTACAAAAATAAGTTTGTCCCACATAACAAAAATTCTGCGACAATAACAAATCATAGAAATTTGACGTAAAATCACAAGCACGAGACAAGATTCATATGTGGTAAATTTGCTAAAATCAACTCTCTCTCTCTCTCTCTCTCTCTCTCTCTCTCTCTCTCAAAAGTTAATTTTAAAGATGAACTCTACAAATGAAATTGACAATAGCCGTTAGGCTCCCTCTTGAGATGGCTCTTGTTGAAACTTGAAAGGAAGAGTGAAGGCATTCTTTTACAATAATCGTAAGGCCCTGTTTGATAGGGTGACAATTCCATGAAAAATGGAATTTGTTTTTCCACTTTTTGATTTTTTGATTGGATTTTTTTTGGCAAATGGAATTCTAACTTCCTTTCTCCCACACTGTCACAAATTTTTTATTTTCCTTGAATTCATTTTCCCACCACTTAGGTGGGAAAATGGGTTTTCAGGTTTTTTATTTATTCAATGGAAACAAATTTTAAATGAAATTGTAACAAATTCTATTCTTTTAATGGACAATTTTCATGAAAAATAAAGTCAAACGAACACCATAAATTACTATGATTGTCATAAATTTTTATTTTAATCATTTTACGCACATATAGTCAATATCATACTTGTCTATTAGCTCATTCTCCTTCCATAGTGGTATGACAAATGACATCAGGACGTTAATGGTCCTCGACCTTGGCCTATCGACCTAGTTTTGGTTGGAAAGAGAATTAAAG